TTCAAAGCAACTCTTTGTTTACCTAAGTTCGTCAGCGCACAGACGGGCAACACAAAAATGCGACTAACTTACTTGTTCGATGCTCGAATGCTCTTAACTAACAGAAAACCTAATCTTTATATGGACTTTGTGAGATTTCTATGTAATGACAGGACTGCGCCCGCCGCTCACCAGGGCTAGTTCACAAAACTGTTACCAAAACGCAGTCGTCGTAGTTTTATTTTATGTTATCATATTACTTAAGCTTTATTTAAATATAAATAGACTATATGTCAGGACTAGCAAGCCCTTCGAACAAAGGTTTAATTTCTAATATCTGTAACGTTTTTTTGAGATGCGGCCTAGCTTTTCAAAGGTAGAGCGGTTGCTCGTGCCCCTCGATTCCGCATCACAGAAAGAAACAGAAGCAGTTATAAAGTAATAACTAGAAGAGAAAAGGTCTTCCACGTACGCTAGCTAATTATGCCGTCTGCCCTGTACGTCGTCCGTTGGTCTCTCCTTAGTCGGTCCAGGGGCTCCCCTACTTCCCCCCACGCGTTCACCCCCCCATACCCTCGCACTCGCTACGCTTTAGCATTTACAAATACCTGATTGTTGAGTGATGAAGCGCCAGCTAAAGGTGTAACGCCTTCTTGCTCCAGTCGCTGGGGTTCCATAAAAGCCGCTGTGGGCAGAATACCTGCGATATTGTCATCCATACTGCCGACGATCGATGTTGTCCATGTCGCCATCCGTTTTAAAAAAGGCAGGCGGCAGGTCACGCAGGATAGTTGTTAAGTAGTAGTCAATTCGCAGAGCCGCCCCACCGAACACCACATGTTAATATCAAACCTCCTGGTGCTGGTACGTTGAACGTTCAATACCACGTTTCAATGTTTCCATTCATACGACAGTTGGAGCACAACATCACTATTTTGCCGAGAGAAAAATGTCTACCCTTTTGTTCTCTTTCAAAGCTTTACCGCACGTACATTTTGCATCTTAACAATATCGAAGGAGGATAAATACATCCTGCAATTGCCGTACACGGCCATTACCGTGTCCGAGTTCAGTCTTGTGAACCCAGAGACAGCTATTATGACAGACTACCAATTTGACCAAACGACATACAAAACATTTGCCATCTTTTTCAGGTTTATTGCCTTATAATTTATATATTTAAAATTGCAAATTTTTTTCGTTTCAGTTTTAACATAACGTTAGATGATTCATTTAGCTAAAGATTTTATTTTAAAAGCACTACAAAAATACTTTGAGACAGTAGACATTCTTTTTTCTTTTTAAGTAAAACATAATTAACAAACACAATTAGATAGAACAACCGATATCAGAGAATTAATTATGTACGACGCACAGTACATTTTTATTGATTTTCACCAGACAAGGCCAAACGTTAACTGATCATCCAAAACTCTCCTTTCAAACCTTTTCCCTTTTTTTTTTCTTCTTGCTTAGCGGCAAGCCGCTATTCTTGCGATCACGCGATTTTACATAACGGGATGGCGTTATTACTACATTTTCGACAAAAACAGACCGACTGACACCCTACCCTAACTTTGTTCGTGGACGTTACATATTTTATGATGAAAATTAATTCACAGTAGTGCCTCAGCAAAAAAATTAACTGTGGGAAATTTGGACAGGCGCTATCACGAAACGCAAACTCTTTTATGGGGAGGAAAATCGAACCCTTCAATAGGCGGAATTTCATGAAAATTATGACTTTGTATTAAAATAATGTGTACTTTTTGTGTTTGTTAATGTGTGCTTTACGAAAACGAGCGAATAACCCTACTAGGCGAAGTGATGTAGGGTATGTAATAGTAGGTATTGCCCGACTACGATGTTCTTACTCGGTTTTAATCTTATCTTACTTCGGCGTCTGCTTAGGCTTAATTAAATTAAGATTAATAATTTTGTACGAGTCAACTTAATGCAAAACTATGAATCTGTGAATTTTCGTGATTTCGTTTATAATAAATCGTGACAATAATTCGAGTGAAAAGAACAAAATCACTCTCTTTAACTTAAAAATGATCAAAACGGGCAGTTAAGAAGTAAGTACTATAAACAACGTAGCCAATTCGCACCACACGAATAAATAAATGTTGTGAGAAGACTTTGGACGGGCTTATCGCGGACGCAGCCAACTCTCCTCAGAAAGTTCAGCCAGGCGCAAGAAATTCATAACACCGTCATAATCGGTATGTGTCAAAATGATTTTGAGTTCTGAGCAACTTCGATGCGGTTTTCTCTTGATTCACCTTTTGCCCGATATTGACTCAACTTAACGGTCGTTTCCAGACCATATACATATAGGCCATTTCCAGCAACGATACCGTTTTGATGGGGTCTCCGCAGGCAGAAACCATTATTTCACAGACAGTAAAAGTTGATAAGGCGGCAATTAGGGTGAGTATAACAACTACAGCAACTCTGCAGCAATTGAATATATTCTACATTTAGTGTTATTCATCCACAACAAAATAATGAACGAATTCACGAATTTTTAAGTTTTCTGAAGACATGAAACAGAAATGAAAACTATACAATGCTTTTTACATAGAAAATTACTTCTTAAGACATAAGATAGTTTTTGTTTAAAATCAAGCTGATTTTGTAAAAATAATTTTTTTCCATAAATCAGCGACACCTGCTTGCGATTTCCTATTAATAAAGTGGTAGACAAAATCAAAAAAATAAAGCAAACCAATGAGATTTTTAGAGGAACTATGTGATTTTCAGAGGGGTCTCCCTGTCAATACATAAAATATAGATGCATCAAATAAATTAATGCATGTAATAAGTTAACTTCTTACATTTTCTTTAGAATATGAAATTAATCACATGTTCACGGTTTGAATAGTATTGAATAGTTTTTTGTTAAGCATTGAAAATGAACGCCCAATCCCTGTAAATGTGTCAAGTTTTCAAGGCGTTCGATAGTTTTTCACGCTAAATCATGAAAAGCTTAGAGCATAAAGTCGCAAAACTTAAAAAGAAGAAGAAATGCGCAGTAAGAACGCTCTGAAAGGCTATGTGTGAAGATTTGTTAAGAGATTTAACCATAAGGATAAATCTGTAACGATAGCTGCAACGTTATTAATAACACATTTCTTAGCTCTATATGAGGGCCCATCATGTTCAGTATTTTCATTAACGACCTAGTTACTGGCTATGATTATACACAACATTCTAAGAAAATTGTGTTTATCCTCCTCGTATGCAGTCAACGTATACTGCAACCTTGATTGCGCCTCGAGCGCCAAGCTAGAGTTGGCTGTCAATAAATGTGCCAGATACGTTTTCCAAGCGCGTAAATACGACAGAATATCGTGGCTTTAGGTGGAGATTTTAAATTCTGATCTTTCGTCATTTTTTAGTAAGCGAAATGAGATCTTAAACTAATTTTTACCTGTAATACAAAATGTCTATTTGAGAAAATCCGGTTAGTCTAGACGTACGATGAATTTAACTCTTCCAGACCCTTAGTAAAGTTCGCTCGCAATTATAGAACTTTTTCAAACCTTTGAAGGTTCCTAGTATAACTCAGCGAAAGTTATTCACATAAATAGGTTGCCTAACATTCGAAGTAGACAAACAATAAGCCACACACACATAGAAACAATAACAAAGTAGAGTGAATGCTGAAAATGTCAGATATTCTCTTCATTTTATATAAATTATATTAATTCCTCATAACGTATGTAAACACTATACAGGCAGATTATTGTTTTTTTTTTTTTAATTAAATTTCATTTTCGTTAACTATGTGCAATTAGCTACGGGATATTTCTTTGGTGTCTCGGTTACTGCCGGTGATTTGACGTGACATATATAGTTTTGAATTTTATGATCTGGATTCAAATGCAACGGTATTTCATAATTAAGTTTCATTTTGTCGTGACATAACATGGCTCGAGAAAATAACCTAGCGTTAAAACATTGGAACATAATAATGATCCCTGGTCATGATTGATTTCTCTAAGACTTTCAATACTGCGAATCAAAACTTACCATTAAGCAAGTTAAAGTCTTATTTTGGCTTTGGTCCGACGGCGATCAAATTTGTTAGGTCTTATCTTGATAGTCATTGCCAGTGCGTGCAGGTCGGCGATTGCTTCGCGCGCGTTCGTTCTCGCGCACTGCAAAGCTCTCGGGATGAGGGCGTGTAACAGAAGCTCAGCCTGAATTAAAACGCGGCTGAAATTCAAATACACGAGACGGTACCGGGAGCCGAGGCGTTGTTAAGAAATTCGAAAACGGTTAACATCGGCAGTGTTGATGATAGCGATTTTAACAACAATCAACGCGAATGGGGGGACGTACCATACAGCAAAAATGAAGCCGGCAGCGATGAACAAAGTAGTGACAAACAAGAAGACAGTAAATTGAAAAGTTAAAATGGGAACAGTAGTACCGATGACTCTAACGGAGATTATATTGAAAGGGAATTCGTAAAAGTATCGCCTGTGATTCCACCCGATATCAAAAGGCTTAATAAAAAATAGGCTCTGGCAAGAATCTGGCGTTAACTCGTATATTTACTGACGAAGATTTCAAACGCATTAATGCAGTCAATCTTAAAAAGACAGCTAACAATACGCGCAAAAAGAAAATTCAGAATTAGCAAAACTCAATAATCACGTTTGGAAACGGTTAAAGATGGGCGCTGAGATCTAACTCTGTTGCCGACATTTTTTGCACATGCCAAGATTGCTTTAAAACTGAGAAATCACTAAAAACATGTTCATGTTCGTTCGCAAACCTTCAAGGTATACGTAAAAAAGAAAAACTAAACACTTTACCACACGTTGTGGCCACAAGTCATCAGCAGCAGATGTTAATGGAATTCAGCTTTTATTTTTTTCAAGGGAAAGTTGTCCCATAATACCATATAAGCAGTTTATGGATGTGAACAACAGACAATAAATCTATCAATGCGGTAATGTCTTTACTCATGGTCAGTGCAAGATTTATGTATGTAAACTTAAAAGCTTCTATTTTTGCTTGTTTCTGATTATTTGAGCCAATTTCAATTTGCCTTTCGTTAACTGCGGTGTACGCACAACATTAGTGAAATTTGCCTCAGTTATGCAAGTGTTACGTAAGGATTGTAGTTGTCGCCGTTGTCCCCGCTCCAAATTACCATGAGCACTGTGACATTTTGGTTGGTCATCGATTGCTATATGTTCGATTCGATCAACGCGCATACTGCTCGGCCTCTCGGTTAAATAGTCGTTTATGTGTGCGTTAGAGCCATTGCTGATGTTTAAATTAACTAAACGCTCCTGTAAGTTGCTACGCAAATGTTGATTTTCCCATTGCAACGATTTCTTTTTTTCAACTAAGCAAACTACATCAATTTTTGCATTGTTTACGCGTTTCCAAAAGTTTTCCATTAAATACCAATTACAAAAGTCGTGCTAGAGAGAATTAAAAAAAAAAAGAAAAAACAAAAAAAAAAGAAAGCAAAATAAAGGCAAACTTAGGGAAAAGGAAGAAACTGTGCTTAGCGTACATTTTCAAGATCCTCCTGCTGTAATGGTGTACACTCCTCGGAATGTTCAAACAAAGGTTTTTTGCCAAGCGTTGGTAATCCTGTTGGAAATAATTTTTCTCGTTCCGTCTCAAGCTTCCGACAAACGTTGGCCAATTGCAAAATGATCTTGCCTTTCTCGTAAATGTTTTTAAAGTTCTTGCAAAGAACTTCTCTTAGAATATCTCTTAGATCTCTTATAATTGCTTTGCTCTTCTTACCTTAACCGTTTGATAGCTTACTACACTCATCAGCTTGAATTTCTCCTGATTGTCTTGTATTTCTTGATCTACGTCCTTTTTGAGTTTTTTTAATTTCTCTTCCAAGTGATCCTTAAGTTCTTTTAAATGTTTTGTTCTAGATTCATTTTTATCTTCAGCATCAGCCAGTACTAGTTTCACTTTGGCGACTTCATTACTAACCTCTTCAATTTCATGGCAATAATCGCGAGTTTGGGCAGTGTATTCTTCGTCTTTCTCTTTCAAATCTATGTAGTCGGCATAATACTCTTCGGTATGGCTAACATAATCATTTAAAATTTGCTGGTAAGTTTGCCAGAGCTGTTCGAGTTTCTTTTCACCTTTGTCGGCAATGTCTTCGACTTTCAATTGCATCTGATTAAGAATAGTAATGATAAAGAGGAAACGCTAGAGTGTTTCATGTTAAAAGTAAGAAAAGAAAACTAACGGCAAAAAAATAAAGAGAATTCTCCAAATTTAATCCAGTTACTCAACTCACTCAAATTATGGTACGCTCACTATTTACGATTCCCGTCATCGAGTTATTGTACGGCACGAAAGACAAAAACTATAAGATCGGGCTTTGGGTTAAACGTGCAAATCGAGTTACACTTCTCGTTCGTTGCGTTTGCAACTGAGTATATGTTATCATCGGTGTATGTGTAACAAAATAAAAAGCTAGATAGCTATTTTACTTTCGGGCTCTTTCGAGTACCACCACTTTCAACTGCAAACACGGTATCGAATTCTGCTCCCTAGCTGGTTCGTTGCCACTTTTAAGACCAGAATTAAAATCCTCTCGCGTTTAAACACGCGATCTTCAACGCAATAATTGACCGGATTTCCACGCAAGAGCACTAAATTCTTATTCATTTCAAAATACTCACTAAGTAGGAATTAAACCGTTTTTAAACATACCACTGTAAGACGAAAGGAAGCTGCAGACACGCTATAAACTATATATATTCTGAGTTGATTTAGCCATGTCTGCCCGTCTGCTCGTCTATGCGGTGTGTGTTTTTGGCACTCTATTGGTCGCAAAATTTGGCAGAAATATTGGAAGTTTTTGCACGCAGGTTGATATTCAAAATGGGCCAAGTCAGGGCAGAAGCGCGCAGTGGAACTGAACGTAAGTCCGTTTTTTGAACAAAAATTTTTAAATTTTTGCTCGTCGCTCGGAAATTATTAAAGTTAGGAGGCTGAAATTTTCCAAGTTTACTTTAAGAAGCGCTATACCCTTTACGTGCAAAAATTCGTGCAATCGGCATGCCCACACAAAGTTAAGAGTAATTAAATTTAATTTTTTTTACCTATTGACAATGTTTAAAACTATTGTGCACATACTTAAAAAAAAAGGAAAATATGTTATCCGTCTAAAATTGGGTTAATTTTACAATGAATGCGGCAGACACCGCGATAAATTTTGTCTTAATAACACCAGCGAAACGGGTATGAAATAAAAAAACTTGCGGAGTAGAGTGCGAAAAGCATAGTGGTGGGTACGCGAGATTCGGCCCCGGCCCAATATAACTTTCTCACTTGTTCTTTCTGTTTTCGAGGCACCAATGAAAAGAGCTTCTATCCGAAGCCCCTTTATTTTTCCATGATGGTATTTAGATTATATTCAAAAAATGGGAGAACAACTCCAAAAACATGCAGTTATGGTTGGATAATTTTAATTTCGTCAGAATTTCCTGAAATCCTCCAAAATATCACCAGCATCAACAACCGTTGCAAAAAGCCGTCCCCATCTCACTTCTTAGGAACAAAATTTAAGCCGAAGCAGACGCTGCGTTACGCTTTCAAACGTCTGAAGTAAATGTGCATAAGCTTAGTTGAAGCCTTTAAAAACAAGGTAGGGCAATTTGAAAGCCGTTGTCCTAAACGACGATAACTACCAATTTCAGCGATTTGGGTTAATTTTGCTTTGCTGTTGTTATTGGAAAAGCAAATAAGAACACTATAATGGGGCACGGTCTACCGTTACTCTACCCTTACCATACACCAGTTTGTTCAGTACAGTTATGCATATAACGACTTTTCAAAGCATGGCCTGAAATGGGATGTGGCCGAAGAGATGATCCGGTATCGAACTATTTCCAATAGCTTTCGTCCTGGGGCCAAAACATATCAGTGAACCAAATTTCATCGAAATATCTCGCCTGTAGGGCGAACACAGAAAAAACAAAACGTACAGACTGACTTAGAACTCACAGAGGTGAGTGTATCTGAAATCCTCCTGAAATGTATTGCATACATCCGCACAAGCTTAAGACACCCTTGCACCATCTGTGGTGTAGTGTATAATTGTGGCAGCCCGTCAAGCCAACAACTCCAAAGCCCCAAATGCAAAATTATAAGGTTATATCCACAAACAAAGACACAAAGGCCCAACTAGTAAAGTTGTTAGGCGTGGATTTTTTTAGATATAGAGATTCAACTTAGCACTTGATAAAGTGCTACAGTGTAGCTCTACCTACTTGCTTTTGGATCAAAAGGAGCTTAGTGGATATTTTCAAAATTGGATTGAAGTGAAATGGTTTGAACCACACACACCATTGGCGAAAAATGCAGCTTTTAATTAGATGCTATGTGAGGGCCGCCTTAATTAAAAACCTTTGCAAGAGTATTTTAAAGGTCGATTATACAATTAAAACCAGATCCGCAATTTTAATCTATCGAATTTTTAATTTTAGCGAATTTGAAACGAAGAAAAAAGAAGATAAAGAAAACGAAAGGACGATCTCTTGAAATAAGGCGTTTTACGCTTACCGTTGCTTTTAAATCATCCAGTTTTTCTAGATACCTCTCGTAACCGGCTTGTTGTTCATTGCGGTTTTTTTCTTCCAGTTGGTAGTAGACACATTCTAATTTCACTTGTTGACAATTTGTAGAGCTTTTTAAATTCTCGTAATCGCTTTCGAAATTTTCCAGCATCGTTTCCTTTTGTGTGTCATAATTTTCTTTGAAATAGTTCAATCTCTGTTGCTGAATATCTTAATTGTATGAAACGAAAAAGAAAAAAAAATGTTTTTCCTGTTGTTTTGTGTAGCTTTCTTTGCACTCACTTATGAATTTCTGTAACATTTCTAGATGAGACTGTACCGCGGTATCGTGCTGCCCATGAGCTAATTCCAGATCATTTAATAACCGTTTTATTACATTTTCTTTATGTTGCAATAAATTATCACAATATTTTCTCATATTCAAGATTTCATTACGCAATTCCTGACATTTCAATTTTCTCAGTATGCAACGCCATTCCTGATTTATTTTGGCCATATTCAAACGACAAAAGGCCTCCTCACGTTTCAATTTATTCTTTGTAAAAATAATTATGCGATCAATAAACGAAGCGATAAGATAAGAAAAGAAGGGTAAAACAGCGAACGGAAATCTTTCTTACCTTCATATATAAAGCAATTAATTGAATTTTACGACGACGGGCCTCCTCTTCAATATCAGCTCGTAATTGTAGATAGCGGGCTCTCTCCTCTTCCGACATTTTGGCCAATTTATTACCTTTACTTTTTTTACCCATTTTGTTATTTGTTTTCACAAATTTTTTCTTATATTTTTAAGAAAATTTTAAGGACTTGCAAAAAACGCTTGCTTTGGATAATAATTCACCGGCAAATGTAAGAAATGCTTTGCCAGAGTTTCCAGAAAAAACAATAAATTTTATATGCACACTCCGTACATAAGTATTTATGTGAAGCGAACCCATCCCATCGTTAACCATGAGTGAAAACCATGGTTACTAACAACTTCGAGACATCGCCACCATTGCCGTTAGCTAATATCAATGTGATTACCTTGGTTTTAGTTTGTAAATGATACGGTCGATTGGAAGATTGGTAGTGAGAAAATAAAAGAAAGTCTCTCTCTCTCTCTTTCTCGTTCTCTTACGTTGTTTGTTGTAGGTAAACAATTAATTTAAAATTTAATTTTTGAAATTGTTACAAGAATTTTTATATTTCCATATTATCATCATCATCATCATCATTGTCTGCTTTCCTATATTATTATTATTATTGCTTTAACGATGTCTTCCTAATTTTGCACTTTATTTTTGTCATAAATAATTATCAACATTGATATTTCATATTTATGCTTGGCTTACAGACAACTGACTATCTTTAACAGTAAGTTGTGAGTCGACATTTTCATTCGTTTATAAATTTTGGCGATAAAACTAGTAACAACCGTTCATGTCATCAAAACATATACATTAACACTTTTAACATGATTGGTTGCTTTATCTTCAATCAGAAAGTGTATAGAAAGGGAGACAACGAGCAAACAAGAAAGCATTTGTGTGCGTGTGCAGTGCTGTGGAAAAGGATTAAGATTTATGTGTGTTTCCAAAATTTAATGCAACTCGGTTTTAGTTTTCGAAAATAAGCAAATCTTTAGTTCAGATATATGTATATGATCTGTTTATTAACAAAGTGGTTGAAGTCTGTTATTTGAAAACCAAAATATTTAAAAATCTTCTGCTTAGACACACATTAGACGATCTAAAAACGACTGGGTCATGTATGCTCCGCACGACTAGCGAAGTAGGCCAGAATCGCGGTTGTCCGGTTGTGTTGGCGGATTCAAATTTCAAAGCGGTAAAGTTTTGGTCGCAGTTACTGTGAGCGCTTAGTCGATAAAGGCATAATGCTTCCCGATTTGGCACATAACCACTGCGCTGCGGCCGCTCTCCTCTCTTTCCCTTTGCTCATTTCTTTCCAAGCGTCATCGTATTACACGAAAAGAGGATATCAGCTGAGTGATTAGTCCATATAACAAAAAAAGGTCTTCGGGCATCCAAACACCACCCATCCGTTATGGACTCGCACCTTTACTATGGACGGTTTTAGTGATTGCAATTAATGAGCTGAGAGAACCGATCTGAACTTGGTGGCAGCGCGTCTTTGCCACAGTACCCCAATAAAATTATGCAATAAATATATGCCGGCCGGAATTTGAAAGACCGTGGAAAACTTCAAAATAGTATTCCTAAACAGGGCGGCGTCTCATTATCAGTTTTTCTCTGCACAGAATTTTTTAAGTGACGTCAAGAGAATTTGGAACGGTGTACATAAGAATTACGTGCTGCAACTTTTCTCAATGAAATCATAGAAATTTGAGCGCTTGTCTAAAGATCACCGGAAAATATGAGAGTGCTTGTGGATTTCTCATCATTTCATAATTTTTTAATAGCAGACAATAAGTTCTCAAGTATGGCCCTCAAGCACCAACAGGGTATTATCAGTAACTTAAGTCTTTTTGGAGAATTGACTTAAGCGACTTTCAAATTGAACGACTCCCATGTGTGAACATACATATGAATACTCTGCAAACACTTTGATTTATTCTTATTTTTATTCTTTATTGGTTTGTGGTTTAATAAATCGAGTATTTAAAGTTTTTATATAGAAGTTTATGAAATTATTTTAAGAAAAATTCGAAAAATTTATTAATTTTTTGATATTTTTTTATAAATGCCCATAAAATTACAATAGATTTCAAAAATTCATAGATTCAATTAAATAATGAAAGACCGAAAAGTGAATATCTGGCAAAGAATTTTGCAGATGATTTCTGTAGCGAAAGTTCATGTGTTGAAAGATAAAAAACGTGGACAATTCAATAAGAAAAAGATAAATGCCGAGAAGCTTAAATACTTGTAGTGTTTGCCTTTTTTTTCTTTGTTAAGATTAATTGCTGTAAAGGACATTTCAATTAAATCAACAGCACTTGTGCAAGATTGCTTGATGTGGAGGTTATAGGGAAGAGTGGTTTGAATTTCTTCTTTTTTTTTATTATTCACTCCTCTTCTGTACGCATTGTCATCTTTTTAATACTATTGTATTAATGCCTTGAGCTTGATATGCTTGTTGAGAGATTGATAGTTTATAGAAGTACGATAGTTGTAGTTCTAGTTGATTTCATGCAGGATTTGAATGACATTTCTGAGCGACTAGAAAGCCATTCAGCTGCCTAAGTATGCTCATCATCATCATCATCATCATCACGATGGAAAGTAACAAACATACATACACAAATCATTTTTCTAAAGAACAAAAAAAATTTCTGTGTGGTAGTATAGTAGTTAAATGTCTATGGAGAAATAGCAACGTAATGCCATAATTGTAATAACTATGAGTTAGGATGAGAATAGATAAATAGAAACACTAGGAAATTATTGGTCCCTTTAAGTGATATTTTGTGGCATGAAATTGATATTATTCTTGATCTAATCAATTTTGTTAATTCTTTAAGTATAATTCGGCTTATGTGTCATTGTTTCTCTTAAGCGGTTTATAATGGATCAAGGAAAAGGTCGTAGCGTTTTTTTCCACCAGATGGCTTTAGAACTGCGTAACTTGGCAAATACCACATACAATGCATGGATAATCAAATGAGAAACAGAAATTGTGACATTGGTTATTTGCGTTGAAAATGAACCAAAATTGTAAAAATTTTTTTTTTCATATCTTATAACATCATTTTAAGCAGAGTGATAAGCTCTCCAGGCTTGTGATGCAACTCACAGTGTTTATAGTGGAGGTGTTTTATCCAAGTCGAAAAATTGTTGGGAATATCGATTCGTTTTTAAAAAAATTGACAAAGGCCAATTACATTTCATTTCATGGCATTGGTGCAGGAGTGCATGGAATGCATGTTGATGGAAAAACAGTTTTAAACCGTTTTCATAACCAGACGTACAAAAAAAGACCGATTGCCGTACAAAAGAAGCCCGATGACGTTAGTTAGACTAAAGTTGGAGTATGCTGTCGAGCGTAAGGAATAAAGCCCCAGGATTTGGTTTGGTCCTACACGTAGTAATAAGCATTTTACTTTTCACCAATTTTTTTTCATTACAAGTTGTTTGTTATTCTTTTGCGAGTATTATTAGGATGTCATAAGTAAGAACTGTATAAGTATGTATAAGTGGAATGGAATGGGAATTTCACATTCGAAATAAGTTACCTGACATTCTTCGAGTGTAATCAACTAACCGATTGGCGACGCCAGCTCGATTTCAAATAGAGGCATAGTGTAGAAGACGGTCGCACAACCTCTTCCTTTTGAATCATTCCACCGACTAGGTAATAAACCACTGCCCAAAATAAAATTCATGACCATCCGCTGGGAGTGCTCGCTGTAAGTGACGAAGTAAGGACCTTTTGAAAGAAGATCGTCCGTTCCGTCCGATGGCCATTGACGATAGATCATTTAAGTTAAGTATATGCAATTAAATATTTTTTTTTAGCCGGTAAGTTCATTATAGACCCCTTCTCTGTTATTCGAACTATATGGTGTCATAAGTTAATTAATAAAAGGGGAGTGAATTATAAAGTCAAGAGATATTAAGATTTTTTATTCAAGTGCCGGATATAAATGACGAAGGTAAGGACGCCTGGAATAACTGGTAAGGCTTACCTCGACATTATTTTATTGAAAGGTAAGTTTTTCCAACGAAGGAAAAATTTCGTTCCTCACAGGAGTTATGACCTCCGTCCTATCGTTGTTATGTGAAGGCGATCGAATCGATGCAAAAACAATATTTCCTTTTTGCTTTAAGGAATTTGCCATGAGATCACCTTGCAACCGTCCCACCATAAGAAGATAGATTAGAACCCACATCATTACTCACAGAAACGTTGATTTATACTTTGGACCTCAGTCTTGGTAAAATTGATTGATCATCGTCATAAACTCGTAAGCTCTTTTGATTGAAATGTACATTAGTGCTTCTGTTCCCTTAGAAGTTATCAGTTGTTAAAGCTTAGTTGCTTTCTACTTTTGTCAAAATGAAAGATATTGAGTACCAGGCTATTATTAAACCTTGTAAGAGACAGTACGCATATACAAAGTAAAGAGTTGGAGGCCGTGTATGGAACTTCGTTCCACGATTTACGATGTCAAATTTTTGCATAGATGAGGAGAAACATTGCGCGCCAAGGGACGTCTGAAATCTGCAATAACTAAAAAAAATATCGTTCACCAAATGCTTTTGGTCGAGTTAAGACTGGAGAGATCGCAGAGGCTATGAACATGTCCAAAGAGCGCGATTTTTTCAAACCCTAAAATAAGATGTAGGTGCCGACCGCGCGTATGGTGCCATGTTTTCTTGTGGTGGAACAAAAACCTTGAATCGCAATGAAATGCAAGTTCTATTTGTTGCTCAACCTATCAGATATTGCGGATTTGACAACTAGCAATATATCTCAAAAGAACGGTCCAGGAAAAGAGATATGGAGTAAATATTTGGTAGAATTATTGAAACTTAAATGTAGAGTAAGGCTCATAACAAATTATTCCATGAAGAAGTATCGAAATGCAAATTGCTTAGGTTGAAAACTTTTCAGCCAATCCTCGAATGTACTGTATTGCAAACCGTTTAATTAAAATTATATTCTAATTTATCTGCTCTATGGTAAGGTGTCAGTAAAACATAAAATTTGTATCAATTTCGTTTCGCTATTTTTTCGCTAGCATTTCGAAAACTTTCAAGTTCATCCTGCGCTTTTTACGTAAGACAAC